TGGGGGGCAGCAGCGGGGGGCGCTGCGGGGAGGGCGATTTTAGGGGCGGTTTTAGGAAGGTCTGAGGGGGAACTGGGGGCTCTGCTGGGGGAGGGAGGGGGTCCCTGCGCCGGGGCTGCCTTCCTGGTGCCCCCCTGCCCGGCAGCCCCCCGACCGTCCGTCCCGCGGGATGTGGGGCTGCCCAGGCCCCTCAGATCCAGGATCCATGAGCAGCGGGGGTCTCTGCGGCGCCCACCCCCTCGTTGCGCCCCCCCCCGACCCTCCAGGGCATCCAGGTGCCGCCCGGAGCTGGGATCCAGTGTGAGCAGCACAGGATCCACCCCGACACCGCGCAGCTCCGGCCTGACCCGCTGGGGAGGCTCCAGCACGGGATCCGGCGGGATCCGCTGYGGGATCCAGCATGACCAGCATGGGATCCAGCTCCCGAGAGAGGATCGTGTGTGATCCAGTGCCCAACATCTCTCTGGATCCCTTATGGAATGTAGGAYCCCGGAGCGGGATCCACTGGGACCCCAAGCCTCAGCAAATCCACTGCAATCCAGTGTGGGATCCAGTGCCAGGAGGAACATCGGGTGTGAGCCAGCACCCGGGCACCTCCCCCGTGATCCAGTGYGGGATCCAGTGCCAGGAGCACAATCCAGAGTGAGCCAGCACCCAAGCAGATCCCCCGTGATCCAGTGCAGACTCCAGTGCCTGGAGCACAGTCCGGAGCGAGGCAGCGCCCGAGCACATCCCCTGCAATCCGGCGTGGGACCCAGCGCCCAGCGAGCGGGCACGGGCAGATCTGCTGCGATCCATTGCGGGGTGCCGCATCCCAGAGCGGCTGGGCACGGCGGCGGGATGCGGCGGGATGCGGCGGGATGCGGCGGCTCCGGGCGGCTGCGGCGGGGCTCAGGGGCAGCCCGCGTCCCGGCGCCCCGTGCCCACCTTCTCCTGCAGCTTCTCCAGCTCCTCCTTGTGCGCCAGCTCCGACTCCTCCAGCACGCGCCGCTGCGCCGTCTCCTTCTTCAGGAACTCGATCTCCCTGCGGGCACGAGGCCACCGGTCACCGGGGCACGGGGGGGTACGAGGCCTGGGTGACACGGGGGAGAGGGGCCACATGCAGGGGGACCCCGGGAGCCAGGGATGCAGGGCAGGATCTGTGCACGGGATGCTGGTGCCCGTGAGAAGCTCCGTGCTCACACGGTGATCCATGCCCATGCTCCATGACCCAGGGGTGCCTGGAAAAGGATCTGTGCCCAAGGATGAGTGGTGCCAGGGTCAGGGTGGGTGCCCAARGGATGCTCTGTGCCCAGATGATGCTCCACACCCATGGGATGCTCCATGCCCAGGAATGCATCCATGGCGCTGGGAAGGGGTTGGTGCCCAAGGGACGGTCCATGCCCAGGGAACGGTCTGTGCCGGGGGATGCCCGTGCCCGGGCAGAGGCCCGTGCCCGCGGACGGCTGCTCCGCRGCGCTCACTTTTGCTGGTACTCCTTGATGAGCCTCTTGGCCTTGCTGTACTTGCGCTCCAGCGTCTGGTACTGCGCCTGCGTCTCCTTGAGGTGCTCGTCCACGGCCTGGCACAGGTTCTGCGCCTCCATCCAGTAGCCTTCCAGCTTCTCCATCCGCTCCTTGTTCTCCTCCACGCTCTGCTCCAGCTGGGCCTTCTCGGCCCGCCACCGGGCCTTCTCCTGCTCCAGGCACTGCAGCTGCGGGGACAGCGGGCTCAGGGCACGGGCAGAGAGCCCGCGTGGCCTGGCACAGCCCCCCGGGGGGAGAGCTGGGCATCATGGAGGGCATCGGGCTGATGGAGGTGGTGGGAATTGGGGGGATGCGGGGTTTGGATGGGAATTGGGGGGATAGGAGGGTTTGGATGGGAATTTGGGGGGATGGGGCGGTTGGATGGGAATTGGGGGGATGTGGGGTTTGGATGGGAATTGAGGGGATAGGAGGGTTTGCATGGGAATTTGGGAGGATAGGAGGTTTGGATGGGAATTGAGGGGATGGGAGGGTTTGCATGGGAATTTGGGAGGATAGGAGGTTTGGATGGGAATTGAGGGGATGGGAGGGTTTGCATGGGAATTGGGGGGATAGGAGGGTTTGGATGGGAATTGAGGGGATGGGAGGGTTTGCATGGGAATTGAGGGGATAGGAGGGTTTGGATGGGAATTGAGGGGATAGGAGGGTTTGCATGGGAATTTGGGGGATGCAGGGTTTGGATGGGAATTGAGGGGATGGGAGGGTTTGGATGGGAATTTGGGAGGATAGGAGGTTTGGATGGGAATTGGGAGGTTGGGGGGTTTGGATGGGAATTTGGGGGGATAGGAGGTTTGGATGGGAATTGAGGGGATAGGAGGGTTTGGATGGGAATTGGGGGGATAGGAGGTTTGGATGGGAATTGAGGGGATAGGAGGGTTTGGATGGGAATTTGGGGGGATAAGAGGGTTTGGCATGGGTGGAGATGATGGTGGTGCCAGGTGACCACCGCGGGCTCCTGCTCACCTTCCTCTTGAGCTGCTGGATCTCGGCCTCGGTGACGGCGTGCTTGATCTGGAGCTGGGAGAGGAGCAGGGGCTGGCACGGGGCGCGGAGGGGCYGGCCCCGCGCGCCCACCCGCGCCCGGCCCCGCTCACCTCCTTGAACTTGTGCACCAGCTTCTCGGGGTCCATCTCCACCGGGGAGAGCGTGTCCTCGTTCTCGGCCAGCTCAAAGACCTCGATGGCCATCTCGCTGCTGGGGAACATGGGGCTCATCTCCTCCTCCTCGTCCGTGGCGTATTCRCCCGTCTGCGGTGGGCAGAGAGCCGGGTTGGCACCCGGTGACCCCGYGCCCCCCAGCATCTCCTCCCAGCCCAAAGCAGAGCCCTGCGCCCCGCTCTCCGTGGGGGAAACTGAGTCACGGGGAGAGCGGGAGAAGCCCACGTGTGTCCCCTCCTCGCTGCACCCCCTGCCCCTGCAAGCCGGGGAGGCTGATGCGGGTCGCGAGGGCCTTCGTCGCGCTCACCTCCTCGTCCTCCTCGGTGTACTGCGTGTAGCGCTGCTCGATCATCTCCCGCTGCCACCGCTCCTGCTCCAGCGTCTGCTGGATGAGCTGGGCCACCTCGCTCTGCTCGCCCGGCTTCTCGCGCCCGATGAGGAAGCTGCGGGGCCGCGCGGGCGTCAGCGCGGGGACACGCGGGGACACGCGGGGAGGGTGCCGGGGGGGCAGGACACGGGTGGCTGGGGCTGGTGGACGAGCAGGGCTTAGGGGGCTGGGGGTGCTGTGGGGCAGCATGGGGGGCAAGGAGAGCTTGCGGGTGTATTTTGGGGGGTGGGATGCAGAGCAGGGGGACACAGCATTGCCATAGAGGCGATCTATGGGGCAGGCAATGGGGCAGGGGCATTCAGCCCCAGCTGGGACCTCTCCCACCCCCTGAGCACCCCTGACCGGGGTAGGTCCATGACAGAGGGGCTCCCCGGGACGGCGACGACGGGAATTGGGGACAAGGGGCTACTGGGGCCCTACCGGACGCGGCCCTTGGTGTTCCTGAGCACGGAGGCGGCGAAGCTCTGCGTCACCCCCACCAGGCTCGTGCCGTCCACCTCCACGATGAGGTCGTTCACCTGGATCCTGGGCACAGGGGCACCCTCAGCAAGGGGACCCTCCCCACGCCCGGTGCCACCCGCATCCCCTGGGGGACAGGGGACGTCCCCGCCGGGCTGCACCCGGCCCCGGGGACACCCGCCTGCCCCCCGTTCGCATCTGGCTGCCCCCGGGCCACCCGTTACCTGCCGTCCCGGTGCGCCGCCCCTCCTTCCGTCACCGTCTTGACGAAGATGCCCAGCTTCTCGAGGCCCATGTCGGCGCCGGCGCCCATGCCGATGATGCTGATGCCCAGCCCTTCGGAGTCTGCGGGGACAGGGAGCGCGTGTCACAGGACCACAGGATGGGTGAGGTTGGAAGGGACCTCTAGGGATCATCCAGTCCAACCCTCTGCTCCAGCAGGGACACCCAGAGCACGGGGCACAGGGCGGCATCCAGGCGGGTTTGGAGACGGGGACACCCACCCAGCAGCGAGGCCACGGGGAGGCCGCGGCCGTAGGGAAGGGATGGAGAGCGGCGGGATAGAGGCCCCGCGCAGCCCGTCCCACCTTTCTCCAGCTCCACCGGGAAGAGGTCGAGCCGCTCCACCCGCTTCTCCAGCTCGTACTCGGCCGAGGCGGCCATGGGGTCGACATCCTCGTTGCGCCGGTCGTAGTCCTCGTTGGAGTAAGTGCTGAAGACCTGCGGGAGCGCGGACGGAGCCGCTCGTCACCGAGGGCACATGCCCCTTGTCACCCCAAGGGGACATCCTCCTTGTCACCCCTTGGGGTACATCCCCCTTGTCACCCCTTTGGGCACAGCCCGTTCCCCGGCCCCCGAGCACTGCCCCACGCTCCCGCTCCAGCCGGGAGAAGAGAAAGGGCGGATGGAGCGGCTCCAAGGGGGACATTTTTCCCCTCTGCTCTGCCAGGCTCTCAGTAGCCTCCTGCTTCCTCCCCAGTGCCCGCCGTGCTCGGAATCGCCTCCATTATCCGCCTTGGCAGCGCCGCTCCGGTGCCAGCGGCGCCCGCGCCAAGGGGCCCTCCCGGAGCTGGGAGCCCCGCAGGGCTCACGGTGCTGATGCTACGAGACACCGGAGAACCCACAGCGGGATGAAGTGACGTTTGAGGGACGTGTGGAGGGACCAGAAGGTGGGCAACGTGTTTGGGAGGGCGGAGGGATGGACGGATGGAGGGGCAGGAGGATGCAGTGAGGGATGAAGGGAGGGATGGAGGGATGGGCAGATGGAAGAACAGACGTATAGGTGGAGGGATTTGTGGATGGGTGGACGGCTGAGGTGCGCGAGCACCGGCTGCTCCGGGAATCCCATGGGAGCTGCACTGGCCCATTCCCTGGGCGCCTTGTCACCCTTCCCAAGCCCTCCCCTTCCCTGGGCACCATTCCCTGCTCTCGGCCACCSCCTTCTCCCTTTCCCCTCACGTCACCCTGGGGAAATGTCCCCACAGGCCCCAGGACAGGAGCACCCGCCGCAGAGGGGAAGCGGCCGGAGCCGCGGGTGCAATTCCAGCCTCGGGATACGGATCCAATGCGGAGCGCAATCCCAACGCCATCCCCGTGCCGGGGGACACTCAACTGCCGTGTGGCTTGGGGTGCCCTTATTCCCCTGGGTTTCCAGCTCGCAGGACGCTTCTCCCTGCGCCAAGGGCTTGGATACAGTGGGGAGCCACCCTGGGGCTGTGACACGGGAYGTCCCCGGCCACCTTGGGGCCCCAGGGGACGGGGCGCGCAGGGGATTTGGAGGGCGCTGCGCGGCCTGCGCCGGAGCCGGGGCTGCGGCCGGCAAAGGAGGTCAGCGCCAGCCCTCGGATGCGCCACTAATGCCCTAAATCCCTGGGCCCGCTAACCCGCGGCACGAGGCCGCCGGGGCACACGGTGGCCCCCTCGGTGCCCACGGTGGCCCCGTCGGTCCCCGCAGGCACAAGGCGCTGTGGGGACAGCGGTGCCAGCGACGTCCCCGCGCTCGGCACCGGCCGCTCTCGCTCCGGCCCCGCGGCCGTCCCCACGGAACGGGGTGGCAGGAGCGGGTCCCCAGGGCAGGAGGGGAGGTTCCCACCCCCGCGGGCAGCGAAGGCGACGGGGACAGGGACAGTTGCTGAGCGTGGCAGATGTCCCCGGGGCCGCCGATTAGGGATAACAGGGCCCSGCTAAAGCCTCGCAACAAAGGACATTAGGGATGAGTGTCAAGGGCCATCGCACAAAGCCTGGTGACACCCAGACACGGGTAGCGYCCGCAGCGGCGAGGGGAGCCACCAGGGTGGCACCTCGGGGTGCTGGGGACCCCCTAGGAGCGGCGCTGGGGACCAGGGCTCCGGGGAGCTCCGCAGCCCTCCGGAGAAGGGAGGGAATGGCCGGGAAAGGGGGATCCCTGCAGGAGCCTGGACCCGTCACGGTCCCCCGGCACCAGGACCCCCCCAGACATGGGGGGTCTCGGACGCCTGGGCCCCATCCGCACCGTGCAAGTGGGACTGTGTCCCCTCCAGCCCGCGGAGCGAGGATGGGGACAGCCCCACCAAGGGGGGGGTCAGCAGCCACCCCCTCCCACACGGAGCCGCGCGGGAGCCGCCGGCCGGGTGCCGCGGGGGGCCGGTTCGTGCCGGGCGCTGGTGACAACCGCTGCCCACGGGGCGCCACGAGGCCGGTCCCCCCGCGCGCCCCGGGCCCCGTGCGGGCCGCCGCGGTGCCCGTCCCCGCCGGGCCCAGGTGGGGCCACCCACCCGCTCTGACTCAGAGCCAGAATATAGGCCGGGGCGCTAAAAATAGCGGCGCTCCGGCACAAAGCGCTTCCCGCTCCCGCGGGGCCGCGGGCGGCAGCGACGCCCCCCGGAACGGCACCGGCCGCGGGAGGACCCCGGGACGGAGCCACCGGGATGGGGGGGGGACACGGGCCGCCCCGGCCCCCCCCTCGCCGCCACCGCCGCCACTTCCCCTTCCTGCGCTTCCTCCGCCCGGCGGCTGCCCCCCCCCGCGGGGGGGTTGTCCCCGAGGGACCCCCAGGGAGGGGACGTGGGGACTGTCACCCCCCCCACCCCAAGACCCCCCCCGTGGGGGGGCAGGGTGGCCTGTGGGCACCGGCTCGGCGGATATTTAAGGGCATCCCCCCCCCCGCCCCCGGGCCTTTTCCGGTGGCGCTTCAGCCCCGCTCAGGGTGGGGACCGGAGCGGTGCCACCCCCCCGCCGCGGCGCAATGTCACCGCTCGTGCCGCCACCGTCCCCACGGGGCCCCCGCRGGGTCCCTGCTGGCCCCGGCACGGGGGGCCCTTCGTTAGCCGGCTCGTTAGCGGCGGCCCAGGCCCCGGCGCTGCCGCAGCCTCCGAGCGGGCGCCATGTCACCCCCGGGGGGGACAGGGACAAGGAGGGGGTGCCAACCCCCCCACCACCATGTGCAGGGGGGTCTCCTCCCCACGCGGCTGGGGGAGCCCGGGTGTCCCCAARGGCTGGGTGCCCCCCCACCACGGTGCCACCGCCAGCACTCAGCACCCCGGGGTGCCCCCCACGGGTTATTCTGGGGAGCGGGAAGCGGAGCAAATCCAGGCCCTGTCCCGGTCCATGGGCGCGTTCCCGGAGCCGCCGGGTTGGCTCCCCAGGGATCATCGCGCCTGTGATGCCCGTGACCGGCACGCGGCGCATGGGGAGGCCCAGAGCCAAGGGGAGGCCGGGGCRGCAGAGCGAAGCCCTGACCCCCCCTTAGCGTCTTCCCACCCCCCTGGGGATGCCGCCGGGCTCACCTGGATGGGCGCCGTGCTGAACTGGATCTTCCGGTTGGGGACGGGCTCCTCTTCCTCGGAGAGCCCCGGGATCTCCACGCAGCTGGACTCGGGCTCGTAGAGGCTGTCGGCCTCCTCGTCCTCCTCGAGCCCGCTGCCCCCCGAGTCCTCGCCGAGCCCGCTGTAGGCACTTATGTCCACCAGGTCCGCCTCGGAGAAGTCCTCCTTCTTGGACTCGTCGTAGAGGTCGCCCTCGTCCGCGCGYTCGCCCTTGGCGGCCTCCTCGAGGCCCGCGGCCTCCTCGCCGCCTTCGGGCACCTTCTCGGCGGCCGCGGGCGCCGCCACTTCGGCCCGCGCCGCCTCGTCCCCCTTGTCCTGCTCCGTCGGCGGCGGCGGCGGCACCGGCGCCGGCTCCTCCGCCCGCTCGCCCGCCTCGGCCTCCGACTCGCCGCTCTCCTCCACCTCCACCGGCTTGATCTTGCACACCTCCTGCCTGCCGGGCCCGCGGGCACCGTCCTTCTCACGGCCGCCCTTGCCCGCCGCCTTCTCCTCGTCGCCAGGCCGCGGGCGGGCCGGGCGCGCGGGGCCGGYGCCCGCGCGGCTCTCGGCGTCGGGCCCTTGCAAGAAGAGGCGCGAGCGCTTGCTCACCAGCTTGGCGTTGAGCGGCGCCGCTTTGCCCGGCGCCTTGTGCAGGTTGTTGCGCAGATCGGCCTTCTCGAAGACGGCGCTCAGCTGGCTCACGGTGGGCGACACGGCCTCCGTGTCCAGCTTGTCCAAGGACTCGGTGCTGCCGTTGAACTTGACGACGACGTCGAGCTTGCGGTCCTGGAAGCCGGCGCGCTCCTTGCGCAGCAGCAGCTTGTTGGTGCTCTCCTTCTCCTGCAGGCTCCTCTCGAAGATCTTACGGGTCTCCTGCAGCTTGGAGAAGGGCTTGTCGGGCTTGGAGTCGAAGCGGCTCACGCGCTCGGAGACGCTGGTGCCCAGCTTGAGGGGACCGCCGGGCTCCACGCTGTCGCCGAGGCTGCTGGCGCGCGGCAAGGAGAGGCGCACGGGCTTCTCCTTGGCCTTGGCCAAGTCGCAGGCGCCCTCGGCGCCCGGCGCCGTGCCCATCTGCAGGAACATGTTCTTGATCCGGTGCACGTTGGAGCCGTACTTCTTGCTGCGGGCTTTCTTGGCGTCCTCGCCGCCGCCGCCGCCGCC